GTATACAATAAATTACTATACCTATTGTATTGTTTTTTTTTTATTCTTACCAATTATTGCATTTATTCGATGGATCCACAAACCGCGAAACCCTCTTTTTTTCCTATCTCTATCCCTATTAGCCGAAACCAACGCTTTGATTTTCTGTTGAGTAATAGTTCGAGTAAGTCTTGAATGAGCCCCCTGAAAGCTTGATGTAAATAAACGAATTTTTCTCCTACGTTTCCTAGCTATATATCCTTGTTTAATTCTGGTCATTGAGTAAATGATATTTTGATGAATAACAATTCAATTCTTTTCTTTCAGTTATTCTTTTTTCTCCCCAGTCTATTAATAAAAAAAATGGATTCTTCCAATGTATAAGGTAAGAATTTCAATGGCTTTTGCTACTATAACCTTCCTGACCACCTTTTTTTTCTTTTTTTTTTAAGCATTAAACCTATTCATATTAAAATTAAAGTGTATTGAATTGAGAAAAAGCATAGTAAATAAAATAGATAAAGAAATGGTGGGTTCCATCGTTTCTATGATTACTTTTTAAACGGCGAGATCCTCTCTATACACCGGAGCCACTTCCCGGATTTCATTCATATTATTGTGTTAACTTGTACAGTTCACACTCTTTGGCTCTACCCATGAAATATCTAGTAAAATAGGTCTTTCACAACGAAATCTAGCTATAATGTCACAGTATTTAAGTATGCATATTAGCTGGGTAGCTGACCCTCATAGTCCGTTCTTTCAAAAAGAAAAATAAGAGCAAAATTTTTCCGCTATTTATTAAAAATAATAAATTTCCCCCGTTTAAGAGGTAAGCATTTGCTACCAATGGGGAAATTTTGCTCATCTTAAATTGTAAATTGAGGGGATTGGATTTCTACTAACCAAAAAACCATAAATTTGATACATAATAGAAGAATATATATAGATATCATTTATTTTATTATCCATTTCTAAATTTTATAGATTTTTTTTAAGTTAAGATAGTGAATGGAAGAGCTCCATTCACCGATACATCGATACTATACAGGAAAATCTTTTTTCCCTTTTTGTCTTAGTCTATGATCTGAACGAGTCGCACATACACCCTAGTACAGGTTCCTCGGCGCTGAGGACATCCCTGAAGAGAGGGGGATCATAGTTGGCATGGTGAGTCGTATACATACTGAGTTGGTTTAGATCAATTTTAACCCGGTGTTTATAAATCAGTTATAAATTAATTAATTAATAGAAATCTTTTTATAAATATTATAAGAAATCCGATAAGGTAATAAGAAGATTAGATGAATAATAAAAAATAGAAAATCGTGCATTTGTGCGGAATCATTGCTGCTAATTCGCAACCGCGACAAGATCAACAATTCCGTGGGCTTGAGCTTTTGCTGCTGACTTAAAAGCATCCCTTTCCATGTCTTCGGATACAAGCCATACAGGTTTGCCCGTTCTTTGTACATAAACTCTTGTGATAGTTTCGCGCAGCTTTAGTAGTTCTTCTGC